GTAAACAATGTTATCATTACCCCTTGAAATTAGCTTTCTTACAGAAATTTGGTGTTCTTTTAACCCTTTCGAGACAGGTCACAGGTCATCTTGTTTGTTGACTCACATTCAAAATTTTATTGAACTACCATTTCATGAATTTATGTCAATAAGTTTGGTATCAAACTGTAGATTATAATTCAAATTTTAGAACTATACATTACTCAATTTGTTATTTTTAAAAAAACAGATAATCATTGATTTTTGTATGCCACGTGGTATGTTGAATGCAGCATTGGTTCAAATTAGATGTTTGTGAAGTCAAAATACTAAGTCTATAGTTTCATATGAATTAGAAACTCAAATTAAAGATAGTGACAAGCTAGAATACAAAATAAGAAAGTCTTATCTTTTCTATTTGTTAAGATATTGCTCACATAATAAATCATATATAGTGCCATCCCACTCGCCTCCTTCCATTTTTGGAAATGCTCCCTTATATACACTTACTTCTATATATGACATGAATAACCAATTGGAAACTCAGACTGTCCCTCTAGTGGTTTTATCAGCCTTTCTAACTTACCTAGTGCCATTTCTTTTAAACCAAGATTTCAATGAGATAGGTTGTCTCTTTAGTCTGCTCAAAATTTCATATTTGTTTAGACCCAAATACAGCTTAGTTATTAAGTTTGATAAATTATAGCAGAATTAATTCTATGGTATTGATATAGTAATTTATGATTTTTTAGTTATTCAAAAGTATATATAAAACCTAAAACAAATATTTTGTTTCATATCCTCCACATGCAAAATGTTTAAAGGCCTAGCAACCGAGTACCAAGGTCACAACTAGAAAAGATAATTGTTTGCTTTACTTCTTTATTTACTGTTCTATGTTTTAGGAAAGTAACTAAGAATTTGTTTCAAAATAGCAATAATCTATATACATATATAATGTATAATAATTGAGATGTAACTATATTTTACAAAATACTAGTCTACTAAAACACAATCAAACAAGTTACTTTGTAGAGACCAAAGGTAACCTTTATGTTATTTGATATGGTAACATGAGTGCACATGAGCCGTGTCATTGTAACTTCTGTATTGTCAGCCAGGCATGGGTGAAAGGTCAATATAATAAAAATAATAAATGTATAATGTTATGATATTTAAGCTATTTCATCTAAACATTTATGTTTTTGTGTTATAATTTGTTTTCATTCTAGAATGAAAGTGGCATAATTTATGTTTATTTCCCAATATTTTATGGTGGTTGCGAGATCGGTCAAATTTACCGAACCCGTACAGAGATTAATTACTGAAAATAACATGTAAAATATAAAGTATTTTTCTTAAGAAATGTTTGATAACTATCTGGACATTATAAAGATTTTGTATGTGAAATTTCAAAATTTTCTGATGCATAAAAGTATTTTTAATGTTAAAATGAAAATTACTTTGCATGATAGATAGGCAAGATGTGAAAAAAAAAGGGCATACGAGGAACACTGCTTTACAAACCTTAAGAGATATTTTGCATATGAAAGCATTGTAATATTTAATTTATCCTATTTTTGTCTGTTAACATTCTACTACATTGTGTGCTGTCCTATATATAGGGATGATGCCAATGCCATCCCTACTATTTTGTTTGCATTGTTTTTAAAGGATTTATATCAGCCATCCTACATTTATTTCCTCTTTGGAAAAGTTATTCTATACTTTATATATATATGAAACATGAATTGCCAACCAGCGAGGTTGAAATTCATGCTCATTTCTAGGCTATTTTGTGCAAGAAAAATACAATCCAACCAATCTCCTACACTCTGCATCTTCACGGCCAAACATAGATGAGTTTTCTTTTGGCAGTAAATTGTGGTTAATTGAAGTTAACAGACTAATCCTTTCATTTGAGTACATTCTTTAAGTACATTCAGAAACTCCAACTCCCCTCTGTAGCCCACCCAATCCTCCAAATTGAGTTTCAGTTTCAATATCTCACAGACTGGGTGTTAGAAAGAGCTTAAATATGCATGTAAAAGGATCTAAATGCCTCCTCCTACAGACAAACACCTCAAACTTTGGGTTTGTAGTCTCTGTCCCAAGTAAGAACTTCAATGGTTCCACTGTGTGATCAGTTGATTTCCTCTCTACTTTGATATCCATATCAAAGAAAGATGAAGCAATATGGCTTTCATCTTAAATCGTCTAATAGGCACAGAGTTCTCATTGTTTAAAAAATTAAAATAAGTCAGAAAAGACCTTTCCATGAATATCTCAACACCAACAGAAACTACCATTATTTTATGCAACTCAATAAAGTCAGTTAAATACACCATCACTTTAGTGAGACATACACAATGGTGACTGGACACTGAAAAACCAGATTATACTGATTAGAAAAGCCACTGGTCAGATATCATGCAATGATTAAGCAAAAATCAACCTAAATAAACAGCAAGTTTGACCTTTCATACTAAATGACTGAAAAGTAAGTCATTATTATTAGATTGCAACATGGCAGTTTGTTAATTAAACTAACCAATAATATTATTCATGTATCCAATATGGTGACACTCATAGCTATCATGGTTACAATATGGCTGTGCTCAAAGAGAGGTGAAATTTTAGACATTTGCCATTTTCGGTCAAAGGTCAGCTCCACCTACCTACGAATCAAATTCAACCTAATTTAATACCATGTTGTCATATACCAACTTTGAAAAACTACATCATGAGACAACATTAGAAGATAACTTCAAAATAAAAATAACTATAGTATGAAACAACTAAAACCAGCTACAGTATGATGGCACCTGGAATCAACTATAATAGAAAATAACTGCATTTGAAGAATACTACATCAGTAAAAAATTTCTATGGACAACACCTTAAAAAAGCCCTTCAGCTTGCATTATGTTCTAAGGAATGTTCTATCTTATTTTGTACATCACAGTGTAAAGTTTATCTATGAAAATAGTAAATAAGAATATTTTTCTGTTAATTCAATATTTCTTATAATGATTACAGACCAAACTTAAATTTGCATTAAGAAAAATATACTAGTTAATAATTATAAGATGCTTATTAGTAGGAAAGCAGAAAACAGAAAATTATCAAAAACAAAAGTTAATATCTGACATACAGCTTGTATTATTCACATCAAATATTCAGGTCAAGAATAAAAACTGACCTCAACAGAATGATGGCCAACATCCTGATCTGTCATATAGATGGTCCAATACCCAGATGAAGTAGTCTGTACAGTTAGTCGACACAGACCTAGTAGCACAGAATTAGAAAGTTATATAAGTTAGACAATCAGTTTTATTCTACAATGAAATTCTTAACTAGACTAAAAAAAATAATAAAAAAAGCATTCAATCTTCCATAACACTCTGTATTCAGGTGGTGGGTGGTTCAAAGTGTGCATGCAATGACCTATTTAAGAGTTCAATTTAAAATTTAATCAGACTACTCTATTACCTATGTTGGCCAATAAGATTGGTATTAACAGGACCCTCATGAGCCAGTGGGGGGTCGTTCTGTTGAAAAAATAAACTAATTACCCAATCTGGTATTTATTAATTTGAACTGAAAATTTTTGGACATTTTTATTGGCTAAAAAGAAGGTATTTCCCACACTCTTTTAGCATTGAGGCTGCAAAAAGTGATTTGAAATGGTAAGGTGACTGAAATCCATCAGTGAATCATGAGCATAACGGCCAAGCACAAGAAGCATGAAGTATTCAGAGGTATTTCGAACCTCTTGGTAGATATTGTGCAGCAAGCCAAGTATAATATTATGCCTGGAGCTGCTTTCAAAGAGTTCCTGTCTGCTCATCCTACTGCTGACTATCATGATGCTTTGACCTTCCCTACTGAATCACAGGCGAAATCATTCGTATCTCAACTGAAAGCTAAACATAAAAAGGTAATGGCAGAAGCATAAAAGACTGGCAGTTGCTTAATTAATGATACTGAGAATGTGGCTTTATTTATATATACTGAATTTACTCCCAGCGAGTAGACATTAATACTAGCTAGTATGGAGAATTTAGGATTGGGTAATTCACTTAAAATTTCTCAATTAACAAAGAAAAACTTATCTCAAAGTTGTCTTGAAAAGATACATCTAAAACCACCCTCTATGGGAGTTTTCAGATGGAACTCACTTTTAACATTCAAAAAATTGTAGTGTAAAAGCACCCCCTGGCCCTGGCTCCTGAAGGATGTGTCAAAATGTAGCTTAAAATTTAGATGCTTATACTATCTAAATTTTAATTTAAAAAGAAAATACTTAAATAAATTCTCATTAATTACTTCCCTGAGTCATGACACTATGTGCTCTGAATTTTCATTTTGATATACACTGAGTGGTCACAAGTAAATAG